GTGGGCCTGGGGGTCTCAGCACAGCTGCTCCTGCCCCACGTGCTGGAGGGAGAGAGGACCCCCCCCCTTTCTCCATTTACCTGAAGAACCTTCTATGACCTGAGCGTCCGTTCTGTGCTGGTCACACCTGGGGGCCTTCCTGGGTCACAGCACTACATAGAGGGCCAAGTGTTTCCTGAAGGATGAGTCGTCACTGTCAGTGACTACAGTCCCGCTGTGCCCTGAAGAGGAGACATTTGTGTGGAAACGGGGTACGCAGGCACGGAGGGCAGATTCGGACTCTCTAGCACAAGGAGGCTCCAAAATATCAGGGTTAGGAGCGTGGCTTTGGAGTCAGACAGAGCCAAGGTCTCAGCCCAGCTCTGCCACTTACTAGCTGTGTGCTTGTGGGGAATTTGTGCCAAGACGTGCCTCCCTCTCCTGTGAAATGCAACCATCCCAGCATTTACCCCAGAGGGCTGTTGTGAAGATTAAAATAGATGAGCCCAGTGGCTGGCACATAAGCACAGGTAAGTATGTCAGTAATGTTAGCTTTGCTCAGAGGACCTTGACCGCTGAGCGGGGCAGGGGAGGGAAAGCTCTGTGGAGATGTGGGGATGACATCCTGTGCTCCACACCGTGACGAAGCCAGCCGAGGAGCTGGGAATCTGTGAGAGGCAGCAGAAGCATGGAAGGACGCACACCCGGGGCTGGAAGGGCTTGGGGAGGCCACCAACAAGGGAGGGACCCGAAAACAGACAGTTCTTATGATTTTGTATTTTCTATTTCCCAGGTTTAATCCCTCCTTCATGTATAGGAAAATATCTTTGAAAATGACAGCCTGGCTCAGGTGTGTCCACAAGTCCCCTCTCACCTGGAGCTGTGTGTGGAGGAGCTAGCTTAGCAAAGTCAGCAGGAACTGCAGCGGAAAAGTGAGCCTCTGGGGAGGAGAGGGGATGACTTGTTCCACCCATGCCCGCCTTGAACCCTGACACACTCCTCCCACAGCTGATGTTTGGGAGGAGCTATTTCTTAATTTTGGTAAAAGGAATAATAACTTCTCAGCCCCCAGTTGGATGGAAGCCCTCACACCTGCACACAAATATATGCCCACCAAAGTAAGAGTAAACACAGTTGCCCAAGCAGACATTCACATATTCAGGTAAATATAAACACTTAATGGCAGGCCCACCTGTGCTCAAATGCGATCTGAATATAATCCAAATATTCTGCATTGGCACATATGCATATACCTTAATTTTTTTTTGTACAAAAGCCTCAAATTTGTCAGATTCATTTCTAGTAGGGATACACCATCCATGTGAAAACAATGAATAATTTCAATATGTTGTTGAATTAGAATGCTGAGCAATGATGTGGCGTGCGTGCACGCGCGCGCGCGCACGTGTGTGTGTGTGTGTGTGATGCGGGTTGAAGTTACATGAAGGCACTGGGAGGTGAACCCTCTCTGATTCAGGTTAATCATGGATATTTGGGAGTATTATTCTGCCATGTTATATTAGGACTAGAGCCATCATGAGAAACAACAGATGTTTTTATTGTTTAGTTTCAAACAACAGCTTATATGTTTTAGGCACTTTTCTTAAAAAAAAACAGAGGCTTATAATTATTTTAGCAAAGCCTTTATATGTGCTCTGAAATTCTTTAACTTCAGCATAAATATGGTTTTTATAAAAAGAAATCAATACTGAACCAAGTCAACATTAAAAACTTAACATTTGGGGCTATATAGCTAATTTGGAATTGACCTTTTTGGTGTATATTTATTGATCGGAGGAGAAAAAACAAACGAGGGATTTCCTGCCCTCTTTTTCAATTTGTAACTGATTTTAATGTTATAGAAAGAGTTAAACCAGAAATCCTGGGTCCTAGTCTCACCTCTGCCACCTTAGCCAGCTGCTTGATTTTGGAAAAGTCACTTTACCTTTCTGGGACCCAGTTTTCTCGCCAGTAAAATGAGAGAGTTGAGTTAGAATGATCACCAATATTCCCGCCTAACACTGGAAATGAGGTGAGTACAAATATGCCCGCATCGCTGTGTGTGCATATGCACAAACCTGCGTGTTCTCTCTAATGCAGGCAAAGAAACAAACCCTCATTTTCACGCACAGAGACTCAGAAGCAAACAAATACAAAAAAAGCTAGCAAAAGTAGTTTTTGCTCCAGATGCATGCACGCGTATCTAAAATATACTTCCATCTTCTTGAGACGGGATGAATCGTTGAAATTCATAGACTATGGTGCCTATACAAAAAAAGTAGTACGTGTCACTAAGTTACTCAGGCACTCCTTAAACCGGACTTCCTTATGCTTAGCTCAGTGGATTTCTAGACATGCTCAGCCTCTTTCCCTCTCAGCATTTCGAATTGTAACATATGGTTCTAAGATCACTGGAACATAGGGCTCAAAGCCCTGAAGTTCCTCCCCGACAGATGGGAGTCCCTGGGGTCTTGAAGCCCTTGTTCAGGCCACTGTCTCAGGAGGGCTGGTCAGGGGCTGCAGAAACTCCCAGCAGGGCAGGAGCCCCGGAATAACCGCGGCCTCTCTCCTGATGTTCTCTCTCAGCCCACAGCTCTGAAGTTAACTAAGAAAAGTTCCCTGACTTCCGAATTCTGTGGCGCTGGAGCTCACTGCCACATTTCTCTCTGGGGTTGGGGTGGGGTGGGAGGAACCCAAACTAAGAGAAAATCAAAGGAAGGAAAATTCCATGAGTGGGAGCTAACTGGGCCGGCTTCCCAAATTACACTGCAGGTCTTCTGACCCAAGAGACACAAATGCGCTCATCACATTGTATTTAAGCATCTCCTATCCTGGAAAGCACGCTCTATTTTTCACTCCTTTCTCAAGTACCCAAGGCTCCTTTTTCCCCTACGTAAGCCTTCTCACATAGCCAGGCCTGGTCAGGCACTGCAGCCTCCCCCTGGGCTCTGCTTGCCCCAGACGTCAGCCTGGCCTGTGGCCGTCCTCCCTCTGTCCTGCATGGTGGCTGTTTGTACACACGCCTGACCTGTCTCCTCTTCTAGACACCAGGCTGCTAACTCTTCTGATCCATGCCTACAGAGCCTAGCCGAGTGCCATCTTGCACTAGGGGACACTCGGTCAATATTGATTTAATAACTGGAAAAGCTTTTTCTTACAAGTTTGCAAATACCTCACTACAACTTCACAGGTCATGCCTTCCAGACACATGTCCTTTGACTGGAATCAAGGCCTTAAGCTTTGCAGTTCTCCCCTTAGATGTTCTGGCCTAGGAGGGTGGGCACCCGGCAGGCCATCAGACCTGGCAAGAGTGCCGACCTGCACAGCCGGCGTCCCCATCGTCTTCACTGTCATCCTCACACTGGCCTTTCAGGGTCCACAGGCTTCAGTTTGCTTTCATTTCTGAGTCTCTCCAAAAACAGGCTGGACCCGAATTGTTTTGCTCATTATGTAGATGAAGAAAATGAAGCTCAGAGAGGTTTGTGATGTGCCCAGAGGCAGACCTACCAGGAAACTAATAAGGCTTAACCTTCAGGGTCCCAATGGGCCCTGGTAATGTGGCCACAAGGTCAAACAGTACTGGTAATTTGGTAGAATACTATAGTTTAACTGCAATCAATTATGACTGCTCCTCTTTTCCCCACTCTGATTTTTCCAGATCTGGTGTGCATTGAGGAATCTGACCCAAGATTCCCTAACATGTAATGAGTGATGGATCTATTAGATTTGGGGTTGCTGGAATATATTTATGGGCTTCAAAGGATCTACTATGTAACCATCCCAGTGTAGGGAATGGCTTACATGAATATTCCTACCACTGGGCCAAGTCACTTGGCTTTGTGACACGAAGTTACAAAGTTACAGGGCCAGAGTTGTATCACAATATGACCATGGCCTGAGGTGCCTGCCCTAGGGGTGTGTGCATGTAGTGGAGGAGGTAAAAGGGTCCAAACGTACAGAGCCAGAAGTCAGCTGTGTAAAATTGTGAGCAGAGTAATTTTTTCAAAAGCCTTGTAGAGGTGCATCAGGCAGCCAGCATGAACATGTCACGTGCCCAAATTTTGGGATGTTCTGGTACTCGGGCAGCTTTTTCAAGATTTGTAATTTATTGCAATTTCTTATTATTGTCCTAAGTAAAGAATCACATTTGTACCTAATTTTATCTTCATAATTTTGTACTATTCTCCCTGAAGAAATTTCTCCCAACGGTCTAAGCTTCAGGCCCTACAAAACCTGAAAGGATCCCAGGCAATTTCCTCAGGCCACACTGCGGTGGCTGAGCTGGGTTTGGAAGCAGGTTTTCTGGATTCTGGCCCAGGGCTCTTCCCACGAGCTCCTTGCCTCAGAGATGAAACACAACGTGTACTTTGTATGTGTGTACAGGGCTTCACACACAGGTGTTCCTTAAATACGCCATAGCTCCCTGAGGAGGTTGTCCTCGGTGAAGGGAAGTCAAGGCCTGCGCCCATGGTCGTGGCCAGGCTTGGATGAATGTCCTCTTCCCAAGAATTCTGGCCATTTCCCCATGGGCCTGACCTGTCAGTCCACAAACTGGAGGACCTCTGGCACGAAGGACAGCTTAGTGCACCCTAATCCCCTCTACCCCTCCCTGTGGGACAATGCCCCTCCTGTCACTGTGATTGAGAGCCATCAGCATGGGGGACAGAGAAGCCCCTCAAAATCCCAGATCATGGGTGTTACCAGCAAGCCCTCCTGCCTCTCTGAGCAGGGAAAGTCCACCTGCTGTAGGGGTGGCTGGAATGCTGTCTGGGGTAGAGAAGGCGACCAAGGACATTGTGTGGGGACAGTGGGTGACATCAGCCCAACAGCCTTAGAGCTCACCTATCCCTGCCCCATCGCACACCCACGGTCTCCCTTTATACCACCAGACAGTGCTAATACCATCCCTGCTTAAATGCTTCTGGGGTCAAGGGGCTCCCTATGCACGCTGACCTCACCCCAGGCGAGCACCCACACACTCTTTTCTCTCCTGAACCCCATCTGCCTTAGCCCTCTGGAGTTCACAGGACGTGCCCAATCTCCAGATGACAGCTTCTCCGATATTTGAGAACAGCTACCACAGGCTCCCCCAGGCCTTCCTTTTGTGAGGCTAAATATTCCTGTTCTGGCAGCTCCTTCTCTTCTGACATAATTTCCAGACCCTTCACCCTCTGCTTTCCCTTCTGCACACACTCAACTTGAACAACAGCCCTGTTAGAAACAGAACAGACCGAGCACTCCAGATGAGGTCCGGCAGCCCTGAGGACAGGAACTGTCGCCCCTAGATCAGTATCTGAACTTCTCTTATTGTTGCCTGAGATTTTATTGACTTTGGGGACAGACATGCCAATAAAGCCGGGTCTCTTTCCTATGAATTACTGCTGGGCTGGACTCCTTAGCCCCGTGACCCTGCTGCACAGTATGCGGAAGGAGGAAACACATGACTAGACACACTGTTTGTGGAATGTTGGGAGATGAATGCCGCACGGATCAAATGGCATCCCCTACACAAGGGGGCAAGACTCCGTACAACCTGTGCAGTCTGCACCTGGCCTCAGGGAGGCGGCGGGCCTCGGCTCAGAGTGCGGGAGTGAAGAGACAAGGGCTCCCTCACAGGCCACAGTGGCCTCGAAAGCTTAGTATCTTTACCAAATTTGACCTTATTTTAAACAAACCTGCCTGAAAAGGCAAGTAGACCTAATACCACGTTTCCCAAGTGTGTCATGAAAAGGGAATAGGTGATAGGCCAAAACTAAATTATACTCAGATAGGTTTGGAAAACACTGGCAAAAACAAAGGTAAATAGGTTTCTTTCACTGCAGGACTTCCCAGAGCCTTTAAAATGCTAATTAATGGGCATGGGGAACCCACCGGTGGTAGACACAATAGGAGGTATTTGGGCGTGTTTGCTATTTCCCCTGGTCTGCAAACTCCATGCTTTCACTGGCCACTGCTACACTCAACTCGGAGGAGGCATTTCTTGTGAGTTCATTCACGCTTCCAGCATGTATGTCCAGCCCCTGGGCAAGGGGCTCCCAGCATCCCTGGAAAGTCCAACTCGGAGCGGCTGCTCTGAGGGAGTCACACTCTGCGGGGCAGGAGACCCAGAGGGCGCGACAGAGGGAGGCCTCCGAGGAAGGGGCAAGGAGACCTCCGGCTGCAAGTACTTGCATCACAGAGGAGGAGATGGTGGCCAGGCAGATGGAGTGCATCCCAGGCCACACGGCGAGAGTGACAGGGCAGGGCTAGGAGCCCACATCTGTCCTGTCTGCTTCGGCATTCATGGCCCAGATTGTGCTGCTGTCCTCAGCCTCTGTCCGCCGACCTCTGTCCTCGGCAGCCAGGACGGCCCTCAGGGAGGCTGGGAGGCTGGCCTGGCTTGGGTGATCTGTAAGAGCTCACCCAGGGCTGAGATTTGGTGAGTCTGTGAAGAGAGCTGCTTAAGCCCAGAGGAAGAAGTGGTCAGAGGAAAACCAAGGCAGGGTGTGCGTGACAGGAAGACCCTGGGCAGGCACAGCTGGGGAGAAGGGCCTCCCTGGGGGGTTTCAGGAGAGCTAGGATCTGTTGGGTGCGTCCAACCATCTGACACACCCACATGCCCAGCATGAGGGCCCCCAGGGCTGTGTCTTCCAAGACTCCTCTGGTAGAACCTTGTTTGCTGAACTGATTGGCCAATCGTTTTTCTGAATCAGCCAGAGGAGCTTAACCATTTGGCATATTATAACCAGAGCCACAGACTCCTAATAATAATGATTATTATAATTGTACACTTGCTGTGGGTCCAGCACCATGCTAAGTATGTGAGATGTATAATCTCAGTTAACCTCTGAAACAGCCCTATAAGATTGGCATCGTTATTATCACCCCCATTTTACAGACAATGAAACTGAGGCATAGAGAAATTAAGTAAGGTGTCCGCCTCACACAAGTAGCAGGCATCAGATGCCCACACTTTGAGCGGGACAGCCTGACTTCAGTCTTTATTCTCTAATGCAATGGAAGGTGGTTAATAGTGTTTCTGTTGTCACGTTTTTAGAAGGCTTTTAATAGGACAGATTTAAGCTTCTCAAAAGTAGAAAGAAGAGTAAAATGAACTACCACACACCTATCTTCCAGCTGCAAGTGTGAACTAGCGGCCAATCTTGTTTCTTCTGTATTCCCATACTGCCCCCACTTAGCACCACCAGGGATTGTTTTCTGAAGCAAATCTCATGCATTATATAATTTCCTCCATAGACCCTTTAATAAGGCCAAATCTCATTCTCAGTCACTATGCCGTCCTCCCTGGGAAGTAGCTTGGGCCGGGTACACCTCCCCGCCCCCCACCTGCCCCACCCCGGCACTGAACTTCCGTGAGCCACCGCCGGACCCAGCTGGGCTGCACCCTCGGGGCACAGATGCCCTCTGCTCAGCCTGTCCCAAAGCCCTTACCTCACAGCCTGGCCAAAGGGCTGCCCCAAGCCTCCTCGCTGAAGCCTGCCAGCATCTGGCCCCGCTGGAGATGGGGAACAGCCGGACGTGGTGGTCTTCTGTCTGGTGGGGTTGCTGTCAGGACAACAAATCTTCCTCAACCAGCCTGGCCCTTAACCCTGGCCACACCCGTATCCCCAGTTCCTATTTCAGGATGATTTAGGGTATTCTCCTCTGCCTAGGAGGGAACGACCCCAGTCCTGTCCAGTCTAAAAGCAAGAGAGATGGGGGAGATGGAGCTGAAGCACCAGGAGTCAGATGTTCACTGTGTCTCTCATGAACTGGGTGGATAGGTCTCACTGTCCTCAGCTATAAAATGGGAACATAACCCCCAGTGGAAGTGCGGCTGTGAAGGCCCTAAGGAGACAGGCAAGTAAGTTTTCTCTGTGGAGTTGTTTGGCTAGAAGAGGACGCGGTGTCTGCCATGGCCAGCAGGTGTCGCCCAAAGACCAGCACATGAAACCTTGGGATGGGGTGAGTTGGGGTGGGAGCTACTCCCATTCAGAGGATCCTCTTTCCATAACAGATTCAGTTGTACTTGGGAAAAGAAGAGAAAGTTTAGCCTGTGGGAATTCTCCTTAGAAAAGTCAGTCTGGGGCTGGTTGTAACCTGAGTGAAAAGGAGTTGTGAGGCCTTCAGCACATGTGTGAAGCACAAACACATCAGCGCCCACAGTGAGACAGGCATCAATCGCCCCAACTTACAGATGAGGCACCTGAGACTTCACGGAGCAAGCGGCTTGCTGAAGGTCACGTAGTCACTAAGTGACGGAGCTCGGCCCCCCCTCAAGTCCTCCGATTCCACATTCTGGATGCTCTGCCGACACACATTCTCAGAGGCCAAACTTCAGACAGGAAACCTGAGACTGGGGGTCCTGGCTCCTTTGGGAAAGTATAAAAGGCACAGGTGCTCCGAAGCCCCTGGCATGTCATGTCCTGTCCTCTGAGCACATCTAACATCTCTGGGGCTTAGTTCCTCCTTTAGCCAGGGGCTGAGCTAGGTCAGTGGCTCCTGAACTCAGCTGCGCAAGGGCGTGCACACAAGCCCACACAAGCACACAGGAGGGGATCCCGGCTGCAGAATCAGGGATGTGTATTCTACTCTTCCCAGGGAAGCAGCTTAGCATGGGTTTTGGGACTGGTTTTGGGGAAGCACTGGACTAGAAGGTCTTCTGTGGGCTTATGCTCTGCAGTTTCATAACAGTTGCCACTTAAGCTTGTCAGAACACCTAACAGTGCCTGGCACATACTTGATATTCAAATAGTCAATAAGAATTTTGCTGAATGACTGAAAAAGTTTGCAATCACCCAACTGAGTGAAAACACTGCTTCATCCCTCAATTAAAACCCACATTGCATTGAGGTAGCGCTTTATGTCTTACATATCTTGTTTATACAGATGACCTTATTCGGTTTCTTTAATGAATTAGATGTTATAATCCCCATTTTACAGAAGAGGAGACTGAGGTTCAGAGACATGGAGGGACTTGCCCAGTGCTTCCCAGCTAGTGAGTGGTGAAGCCAAGCTTCATAGTCAAGTCTGTTTTGTCCCACCCCCAGCCCCTCCTCCACTACAACTGTCCTGCTTCCTGTCATTTTTACTGCATGGTTTGAGAAGCGGAAAAATCTAGAACAGCGAGTCTTTCAAAACTGCCAGGAATGCCTCAGACCTGGGGACAGGTGACATCAGGAGTTTGTCCAGAGACCCCAGGATCAGGAGAAATCCTGCGCCATTTGGCAAAGGGGCTCAGCGCAGAGCTCCAGGGACTGTGGACAGGCCCTACTCAGCATGTCCAGACCCACACTCCCTGGAGAGGGCAGTTTGGGAAGGGTAGGCCTGTGCCCCCTTGCTCTGCCTGGCCCCTGGTTGGGGGGGGGCTCTGCTCTCTGCAGGGACATCCAGCTGCCTGCCCCCTGCCAGGGAGTCTCTGCCATCCCCCCTGCTGTTCTGCTCTGACTTGGTTCCCAGGCCTCTGTGTGGAGAATCTGGTTATTTGCCTCCCCCTAGTGCCACAGGATGGTATGCGGCTGCCAGCAGCTGCACAGCACAGCCGGGTTCTTCACTCACCAGCCCTGCCCTCCACCCCCAGGGCGTCTCATAGGTGATGCCATAATCTGCCTCACCTCCTGCCCCAGCTGTTTCCATGTCAGCCTCTGGGCACTGCTGGAAGGGACAAGCAGCATCCTCTCATTCTCACCTGAGGGCTGAGGTTCAGAGAGGGGCTGCAGGGAGGCAGGGTCAAACCGACCCTTGACCTAGGTCTCCAGATGCTGGGCCACCCTCTGCTTAGTGCCTCCCTGCTTCTGGTCTGCTCAGCTCCCCCCAGTTCCAGTGCCACCAGCAACACACACACACATACCCCCACAAAGGGGAAAACTATAACCTAGACATTTTTCTCATAACTTTCTGTGGTTCCAGCACAATAGCTGTAAACTACCCTCTGCTGGTCTCAGAGGAACTGGGGAGCCCATAGCTGAGCTGGCAGAGGGCCCTCCCCAAGGATGGGCCAGGCCAGGTCTACGTGGTGGCTCAGGTGGTGCTAAGGGGTGTCTGGCGCTGGGACCTGTGGTTGCACCAGCCTCTCCCGAGGCCCTGGACGGTCTGAGAGTGGACACAGGGCACCTCAGCATCTTGGCCCTCCCTGAACAGTATCCTGAGAAGAATGCATGGGACAGAGCTGTCCTAAACTTTAAAGCATTAAGAAGTGCCTGAGGGGCCTGGACGGGCCCAGAAAAGGCAGCATCAGGTGTCAGCCCTGAAAGCGCCTTAGCGACACTGGTCAGCAAGGACTGGTCACAAATAAGGGACCTCCACAAGTCAGAAATTGTTTCTCCACTGGGGAAACTGAGGCTCCGGGGTACTTGCCCACATCCCATGTCTCCCAGTTGGCCAAGCCAGGGCTCAAGTCTGCGCCAGCTGATTCCAAAGCCTGTGACTTTACCATGACACCGAAGGAGAGATGCTGGCTGTCACTGGGGTGGGTCCCCAGCACCTGAAGCCAGGTGAGTGCAGGCACCACCCTCCCTCCCGCCTGCCCAGGTTGCATGCCAACACCTCTCCTTGTCCCTCAGGAGCCTGTGGGTCATCACTCACCACTCATTCATTCCTCTGGGCATCCTCTGGTCTATTGCAATAAATGTAACAGAGATTTATTGCACACATACTATGAACCAGGGAGGGGCTGGGCACTGGGGGTCAGTGGGAGAACCGCTGGATGCAACCCCTGCCTTTACATACTTGGCTGGTAGTGGGGCAAGTGGACAGGAAGGGATGGTCTGAATCCAGGGAGATGTAGCGGGCCCCGGCAGGTCCCAGGGGCAAAGCCCAGGCCCCACAGGCCTCTCCCCCTCATGCTCCAGGCTGCTCTAAGGACTGAGGCCCTACCCTGGTGATCCTATTAGCTGCCTCGGGTGCATACGGTCCATGGACCTGAGACCTGAAATACTTCAGAGACGAGAACGCCTGGCTCTCAGGCAGGCTGGGCTTGGCATGACTCTGTTACTGATTGATAGGCCTTTCGGGACAACAAAGGCCAGAGAGAGGCCCACATGCCCCTGGCTCTGGGCCAAGCCGGCCTTGTCTCCTTTGCTCTGTCAAGTGTGTCTTCTTGTCTCTTTCCTCACTCGCCTGGCACCTCTGCTTTAACTACTATAAGGAAGCAAGCATGGGGTGCCTGCATGTCTCAGTGGGGTGTGTGTGTGTGTGTGTCTGTGTGTGTGCACACATGCATGTGCACCCAGCTCTCCCCAGCACAGCTCTGCTGGGGGCAGGAGGAAACAATGGGATCAGCCTCAGCTCCCCACTTAACCCTCCCCCGAGACCCTTGACTTTGAAGCTGACACCTGGAATTTTTGTCTTGTGTTCGCTTTTCCCAAAGCCAAGTCCAGAGACAGGTGAGGCCTTCTCCAGGCCGCCTAGCAGGCTGAGGGCAGAGTTTGTGGTGAAACCAGTTTTCCACCTTCCCCAGCGCTGGCTGGCCTGAGCTGCGGGTGATGTTCTGGGGACCACAGATGGCTGCCCCAGCTTGGAAATTCCCTCTTCTTCCCTCCTTCTGCCGCACTTACCTGGGGAATTCCTCCCAGTGACACCGAAGGGGCCCTTCAGGGAAGTGACGCTGAGAACTTCTTGAAAAGGGAACCAAGTTCTGAGCTTTAGAGACAAACCTCAGCAGGGAGCACCAGAGGGCCTCCGGGGCTGGGGGACAGGGCTGTGGGGGGCCAGGCAGGGCCGGAGCACGCAGCCCACCAAGCCTGAAATATCAGCTCCCAAGTCAGAGCTTGAGGAGCTGCACCCCAGAAGCTGCCACCACCCTTCTGAGCATGAGGTGTCCACGCCTGGGGGACACCTCTCGCCCTGGTGTCTCATCACCTCCCCTGCAACTCAACTGCAAACAAAGTAAACTGTCCCCAGTCCCGGAAGGGGACACCGAGGCCTGGTCCCTCAGGCACTCCCCGGCTCTCGCAGGCCAGGCCTGGGCTCAGCACGGCCCAGGCCCAGTGCATCATCCTAGCCGAGGATTCACCACAATGACAGGCCGGGCCGCGGCATTTGCCTCTGATCTCCCCTAGCCAGGCACTGGTCAGGCGGAGGGTGAAGGACGGGCGCCTGGCGAGGAACAGGTCACTGCCACCCCAGGGGCCTGTGCTGCAAGGCGGTTCAGAGCCCAGCCACCCGAGGCTGCGGATCAACAGGGAGGCGATTAATCCCTCCAGAGGCAGCAGGCTCACTGCCCAGGAGCGAGAGGTGGGAGGAAGGCCCGGGGGCACACGCAATGCCCCCGACACCCTGGGCCCCTCTTCAGCCCAGCCCCTCCCCTCCACTCTTGTTGCCCAGGAAGCCCACCCCTTTGACAGAGGTAGGGCTGGTGGAGATCCTCAGGGTGGTTAAGGGAGCCCCCTTCTTTCTCAGTTAGGGGGGTTCAGGATTGCTGGGGGGTCTCCCCCAAGGTCCCAAAGTTTAGAAAAATCAGAGTCCCTTGTCAGGGGCACCCCCACCCTGGGAAGGAGATCAATGCTACGGGGATTAGGGACCATCCAGTCCACGCCTCTAGTTCCTGTGATGGGGAAATCAGTGCAGGAAGAAGGCCCTGCCTGGGGCTCCCAGCCAGGGAGTGCCGGCCGGAGGACCAGCTGCCCACCCCTCTCCCTGCCCAGGGCTCCTTCTCTGCCCGCACTGCTCCACGTATGTGAGCGCCCCATCCCCAGGGTGTGCAGAGGCGGGTGAGATGGTCCCTCCAGCATGGGATAGGGGGTCCCCGGCTAATTCTGTCCCCCGCAAACCTCATGTTCAGCTCCTCCTGCCCACGGGTGCTGTGAGGAAGGCCAGGCAGAGCGTGCGCAGGAGGCCCCTGGCTCCAGCCTTTGGGTGCCCCAAGCACACTGTCCTGAGGCAGCTGAGTGAGGCCCTGACAGGGCCAGGGGGAGCGGTCTGCCCCTCCCGGACTGTGAGGCGGGTCAAGGCTGCCCTGCGCCCTCTGAGTCTCCGCCCCCATCTGCCCCTGTGCAGCCTCTCTTCTCACCCCCGGCCCTGCTCATGTACCAGGCCCAGTGACTTTAGACTCTGACTCCACGTGGAGTCATTAACTCCACCAGGGGAGGCTTACAAACCACTGACACGCAGTCAATTCAGTCAGAACCTCTGCAGCTGCGGCTGAGAAGCTCCGTTCCGGCAACCAGCCTCTTCCACTTGCCTCCACAGGAACGTCCCTGCTGAACGCTCTGCCTCCCTCCGGGTCCTGCTCAACACGTTGGTGAACGCAGACTATGGGGTTAGAGGGCTCGGTCGCCCAAACACAGGGGCAGGTGTGCAGATCACACGATCTCCGCCTTTCCAGAGTGAAGGCTCAAGACCCCGCAGCCGAGAATTTACCCCGGAGTAGGGCAAGTGATACACCGGAGGGGTGAGCAAACGGAATGAGAGAGCTCACTGCCGTCCCAGGAAACCAGGGCACCGGCTGACCACGCAGGGGGTCCCCACTCTCAGCCAAGCGCCCCCAGCCCTGGGAAAGACGAGTTGAAAACCCAGTTTGAAGGGGATCTGGACTGACACATGCTCCCTCTGGTGGTCATGGAGGGAATGCCATGCCCACAGACAAGTCTGTTCTTGTTCTTGAGGTTAAGAATTCATTCAATATCCAACTATTTCCCAACCTTGGTTGTTGGAAACTCAATTTGTGTCTGAATTGAGGAAAATCCAAAAGTGAAGTGAAAGCTCAGTAGCTCGCAGTCCGTGTGACCGTCGTGGAGAGGGAAGGGAAAGAGTTCATAAGGATCTGACCAGGATACCCCCTCCTCATGTTTGCCTTGCTGCCACATCCAAGAAGCTTCAGAAGCCCCCTCCTCCCGAAAGCCCCCCAGGCTGGACCTTCCCCATTCCTGTTCCTTTCCCCCAGCATCACGGACAGCTCAAGGGTGTGCCCACCTGGTGTACGGAAATGCTGAGTTCTCTTTAGGTGTTTGGCCTGTCAAGTTTTATTTGTCACTGGTGAGCCCGCATTTGCAGCAGGATGTCATAAAGATCTTGGCCCAAAGCTGTAAGCAGTCGGCCTGTCCAGGTCTCCCCGGACTGTCTCCTCTGGCCGATCCTTCTCTCTTTTCCCTTCACTCTCTGAGACTAAAGTGGGTCTGGGGGGAATCTGCTCCCGCCAACACCCCTGTCCTGGAGTCAACGGGAGGAACCGGAGAGGGAGCCACAGACCTGGGCTCCGTCTGACGCCGGTACAGGCTGGTTGCCTCCCCAGGCAAGACCCTGCCTTTCCCAAGGCCTCGATTTCCCCTTCTGGGAGGTGAGCATTGTCCATCCTGCTCTCTAAGGAACTTCTGTGCTCAAGCCTTTGGTGATTCTGTGAGGGCTGGTGGCCTTCAGGGCCTGGGGAGAGCGGAGTATGACCAAGAGCTTAATTCTCAAGAGGAATAGCGGCCCCCAAACACAGCCTGTCCATTTTAAATTCCACTAACTAGCTTCTGTCCTGGGCTTTCCTGTCGGCTCTGGCCTCACCCTCCTCAGATGCCTGCAAACCCAGGGGGGGAACCAGGCACTAGGTGGCGCCACGATCCCACCCTGCATCCAGCCTGGGGGTGGCGGCCCCTCAGGGAAGCCAGTGAGAAGGAAGAGGGCCCAGCTCAGTGCAGAAAGTGAGGGGGGGGCACCTCGGCCTGAGGCTGCGCTGCACAGTCAGGCAAATGCCAGAAGGGACAGAGCCCTGAGGAAAGGGCAAGACCCATCCTCTCACTGTCCACTCCCTGGCCCTGGGGTTAGCCAAGCCAGTACCCAAATAGGTGGATGAGAGCAGGTCCCGCTGAGGATCCCTGGCCCCAAGACTGGAGAGGAGGTGGCCGGACGTGAGCACCAGTGTCAGGAGGGGGGCTAGGGAGAGAGCCTGGGCTGAGGCCCGCATCAGGCCCCCCAGACCCTCCCATCCCAGCACGCTGGTGCATGTGGGGTAAATGGCTGGGCACATGATGTGGCCACAGACCACTACAGTGCTGGCAGGCCAGGGCACGCCCACAGTGACTCCAGCAGATGTTCGGACGGTGGCACCCAGGGCCTGGGGCACAGGCCCAGGCAGCACCCTCCAGACCCAAAGGCTTCGAACGTGTGCCCTTTGGACCTTCCAGCTTCCTCTGTACTGGCATTTGGAAGGCAGGCTGAGTCCTGGAGCTCTTGGCCATTTTGGGAGCAAGGAGAGGCCTGTAGATGGTGATGATGAAGTTCTTGCTTTAATTAGCACGGGTGCCTGAGCGACCATCCGAAACCAAGAGAGGCCGCGTCGCCCTCCGACGTGGAAGAGCGGGTTGTGGCCGGGGTAAGACAGAGGGAGGGAGGGAGGCAGGCTGGGAGGGAGCCGTGAGGCAGGCTTTATTATTAGCATGAGGGGGCTGGGGTGGCAGGACGGGATGCCCACCCAGAGCCACATGGAGCCCGGCGCTTCCTGCTGCCCAAGGGCAGTGCTGGGTGCAAAGGTCCACAGCTCAGGGAAGGCTTCCCAACGGCCTGGGGCCCGTGGTGGGCACAGCTGACTCTGGAAAGACGAAGCCAGGAGAGGCAGGACTTTCTCTCCATTCTTAATTCTTCTTGCCTCCCTTGGGGGCCTCTCTGTGCACCCCCTTGGCCACATGTGCCGTGCCAGACATTTGGCCATCATTTAAAACACATGTTGGGGGACAGACTGCCTGGCTGATAGATAGAAGACCCTGAAACTGACCACCCCCCTGCCCGCCCCTCCCAAACATACCCATCATTACAGCTCATCTTCAAGGACTTGCCTGGAACAGCAAGGAAAAAGGTGAGATGTCAGAGGGGGAGGTGGTGAGCCGAGGGTTCCCTGAGGCTGGGGACCCCTCCTCACAGGACTCAGAGACCAACAGCTGCTGCCCACCCCTCCCTCCCCCGGCCCCGCCCACTGCACCCCAGGGCCCTCAGCAGGCACTCACCGGGGTTTCTTGGCCCCACAGCGGAGTCTTTTACCTTAGAGAGAAAGGAAGTTAGTTTACACAGACCCCTAACTTCTGAGGACACCCGCCCTGCTGTGGAGGATTCAGTTTTGCAGTCTCTTTCCCTCCCACCAGCGCCATGTGGTGTCCTGGAATGGGGCTCCTCAGAGGCGGTTTCTCTCTTTATAATAGGACTGGACCATCAGCATGGGGAGTCCAAGTCAGTCAATTGATCAGTCAACAAACGTTTGCCGCAGTGGCCTCATGGTAGTCTGAGTGTGCACAGAGAGCAGCAGCTGAGCCGGGCCATTTTGATGGCCCCCAGCTCTCTGCAGTAGGTGCTCAGTAAGCTCTTGGGGAAGGGTGACAGTAAGTCCGGAGCCCTTCCCTGCTTGGGCCTGGCTGCCTCCCGTACCTGCATGCTCAACCACTACACGGGACTGTCCTCAAGGAGCTTGCAGGGCGTCGGGGAGACCAGCCGTGTCTGCAGTCTGAAGCCTTCAGATGAAGCAGCACCAGCATGGATGTGTTACGATCCCAGGACAGGGAGATGTTTGTGTCTCTGGGTATTTTTCTTCTGGTTGAACCAGAACAAGTCAGTAAGTGTTTATTAAGCTTCTGCCATGTGCCTGCTGGGCAGGGGCCAGGTCTAGGGCACATACAGGGACACTCCCCTCCCCAGAACACTCCACGCCTACGTCAGACCCGACAGCTCTCCAGGCTGCATGTCTCTGGATGTTGGCCCCAACCTTGAGGCAAATGGGACCATCCCTATTTAACAGATGTGCAAACTGGGACCCGGGAGTGGGGATCCATGGTAAACCAGCAGTGGGGCCTAAGGCCTTCGCCTCTGGCCTCGCTTGCTTTCCGCCTGTGGGGGGTGGGGTGGGAGAGGGGACACCCTGGGCTGAGTTGAACCGGCTTCTGACCCTGGGGCAGGTGGCTGCAAGTGGGTCCGATTTCCATCTGTTATGGTGACGGAACTGGCCTCCTCAGTGCTGCTGAAAGGATTCAATGCGCCGAGGCGGGGCTAAGCCAGAAGAGTGCCCAGATCCGGCGGGGGGTGGCGTCCGGTACACGCGGGCTCCCTCCCTTCGCCTGATCCCCCGTTTACCAGGGAGCTTCCCGGGGCTGGAGGGAGCCCCCCTCCCGTCTCGGCAGCTCCTCCAGGGCCCGCTAGGGGCGCACTTGAGGGCGAGGGACCCTCTGCGTGGTCCAGGGACAGAGTGGGGGCATCCCAAGGCACCTCTCTCCATCGGTGTCCGTTAGTACCCCCATCCTGCGGGGGAGGGGGGTGCGGACCGCAGACACGCCCACTCTTCCCTCCCGGGACCGGGAAGCCGGCGTGCTCAGGGTCCTTGAGAAGCGCTGTGCCCCCATCCAGCACCCCTCCAACAGGAGGGGCACCACTTACTGAGGATGATGATGAGCCCCACTATGAAGGCCAGGGCAGCGAAGATCAGGCCCCCGTTGCGGACAGTGTCGTAGTCTGAGGAAGCAGAGGGAGGCAGGGAGGCGGGAGAGATCGTGCCAGCCCCCCTCGCAGCCCGCCCCACAGCAGCCCCACCGAGAGGGGAGATGGGGCCGCCACCCAGGCCTGGGAGAGGCCAGGAGCCAGGGACAGGCTCCCGAGGGGCGGGGAAAGGGCCGCCGGGCTTACCGTAGTGGAATGGGTCCACATTCCCCTTGGCGCTGCCCCCTGAGGAGAGACCCAGAGGCGGGTGAGGGTCAGACGGCCGGCCCCAGAAACAGTGGAACCCCCTCCTTCCTGTCCCACACCCCCAAGGGCCCAAGTGGGCAAGGGGGGTGCTGGTGGGTCGCTAACACCACTGCCTGTGGGGCTGCTGCCCTAGGCTGCTTCAGACACAGGAACTCGGGACTGAATACGGGGCATCCAGAGCAGCGCCCACGCTGTCTGTGGGGCCTCTGGCAGCTCTGAGGGTGGCTCTTTCCTGTGCCAGCTTCACATGATGGTAAGAACAGCCATGAAGGGCACCTCCCGCTAGACTCGCCAGCAGCACCTCCGTACAGCTAATGGACTGCAAGGCGCTTAGCAAACGTGCCATGAATGAAGGAGTAAGTGGGACCTTGCATTACAGAGGAGCAAATGGGCCTGGAGCAGAGACTTGTCCAAACTGCCAATGAAAGTTGGAGGCAGAACTGGGGTTGAACCCAGATTTCTAGATTTTTCTCTCCTATGTTGCTATCCTCAAGGGAAGCAGATTTCTTTAAGAAACATTAATATATAGTGTTTATCACATGGCAGACTAAGGCTAACAAAACAGCAGCTCATTTAGCCATTAGAACAACCCTAGAAGCATTAACACTGTTCCCATGTAATCCCTGAGAAGAAGGAGGCACCCAGGGGTTAAGGAACTCACTCACACTTACACAGCTCCAAGGGTAGAGCTGGGATTTGAACCCAGGCCATAGGTTGCTTAGAATTTAGGTGCTTAAGCCCTTTGCTGTGCTGCCTCCAGAAGCTGGGGAGGAAGGAGGCATTTCAAGGCCAAGTGGGCTGATACGTCCCCTGCCTCCTGCGGGGTTTCCCCACCCTGTTGTGGAGCTGCTCAGCCGCCAGCAGGTGTCACCATTCTGCCCTCCAGCTGCTTAAACTGAGCTCATTTGCCCTTGGGCAGCTGGAGAGCAGCCTGGCCATAGCTGTTCTGCCCGGGCTGTTGACAGCCCCTCTTTCCTGCCCTGCTGGAGCCCTTCTTGGCGAGAGGGAAGCGGAGGCTGAGGTCAGAGGAGTGCGCATCTCTGCCCCCCAGCTTTGCTGAACTGCGTCCAGGCAGGGGGAGGCACGGGGAGGGTGAGTCCCTGGGAGACTCCCCAGGCCAGGAGGGAACGGGCTAGGGGTCAGTGCTGGGCCTGAAGGGCCAGAGGTCCAGAGAGGCTGTGGGGGCCCAGTCCCCATCCCCAGGCAGAAGGCCTTCAGATCTCTCCAGATCCATTTTGGGGTCCTGCTCCCGCTCACGTCAGGGGGCAGAAGCAGAGCCAGAGCTAGGCTCCCGGCGCCCCTCACCACCCAGGAAACCGTCTCCTCCCTGACCAGCTGTCTTGAGCTGTTTGATGAACCCACCCCACCCAAAGGCCCCAGCTCTTCTAGATCTGGCTCACGGCCCACCGCAGCAAGCAGAGGTCCCTGCGGCCTCCAGGCCCAAGTCACCACCACAGGCTCCTTCTCAGGGTGCATCCTGAGCTGGGGGCTTTCACCCCAAAGCCAGCCTGAGAGGCCTGACCCGGGGGTCTGCTCCTTCCCCCGCCTAACCTCCCTCGGCTCCTGCTCTGACCTTAGCTAGTCCAGAGAAATACACCGGACCCGGTGAGCTGTGTGCCCAGAAGTCAAGACGGACGCTCACCCCACCCCACCAGTTCCTACCTGGCACCCGAGGTTCTGCCATTCAAGCTATATTTCTTTAGAGTTAAGGCAAGATCCTCTTTTAAAAGCAGTTTTTAAAAATCCTCTTGGGAGGAGTCTGGCACAGGGTGCGTGAGGGTGTCGGGTGCTCGGAAGGCAGGGGGCCCAGAGTGGAAGAGTGGGGTCCAGCTCACCCACCGAAAGGTGGTCCAGGCAGAGGCCTCCTCCTCCTTGACACACATACACACACACTCACCGGTGTCCGTCGACAGCCCTGACATTTCCCAGCAGACTGGGCTCTCCCCACCACCCTGCAGCCTACGCCTTGGGGAGAGTGCCTGGCTGTGGGGCAGCCAGGGTGAGGTGGGGGCATTAAACATTAACAGTGCCGGGTAATATTTACCCTGGTCACAAGAAAAGCCCTGGTGTGGATGGAGGGGCTCCCGCTGAGGCATAAGGAGGTGGGTGCATGGGCAGACAGGGGCAGGAGGAGCTGTCCGCGTTTCCAAACTGTCTTAGAGGAAATTTCTAGAGAAGGGCTACGGCTGGTCAGCCTTGGTGTTCTTCCACCAGCGGCAGGAGCACAGCCGGGCTGTGGCAGTGGGGAAGCAGACATTTCAAAATGCATTCAGCGTACCTGCAGTGTGAAGGGCAATGTCAGGCATCCCACAGCGGCCCCAGCCCCGGCAGGTGCCCACCTGACCAAGCACCGTAGAGATTGCATTTCCCGCCGACGTTAGTTACCTGGCACTCGAAGCTTCCCCTAGGCATCCCGAGGTGCCTGCCTGCCCCCACCGTGGACCACCCTGGGCCCACCCTGCACAACGCACCTCCACGCCTTTGCTGCCCTGGAATAATACTCTTTTCCTGCCATCTTCCTCGTCCATCGAGGCCACGTGGAGCAGCTCACACCTGAGTCAGAAAGCTCCAGCGGTGCCTGACTGGGCCCTCTCTCCCTGCCACCCCTGGCACTTTCTGGCCACGACCGTGAAGCCCGGCTCTCCTCTGGTCTCCGTGCCATTTCCCACTCACGGCCGCCTCCTTCAGGAAGGTGCCGAGCCTTGCCGCAGGGACTGCCTTTCTTCTGTGATTTACAAAGCACTTCCCTATTATTTCCTTATGCTTTGTGCTACTTCCCCATTTTACAGGTGCTGCGTCTGGGGCATAGAAAGGGTAGGACCTTGACCCCAGGTCACATAGCCAGTGAGGAGTAAGGTGGACACTGGCAGCAAGGCCTTTGGCTTCAGGAGTCAGGGGCTTCCCTTCACCTCCAAGGCCACTTCCCTGCCCTGCAGTGGCCCCCTCACCTCGGGGACACTGGTGCTCAGTCCTCCATGGGTGCTCATATTCCTGGCTGAGTTGTAGTCAACAGAATTGGCCCCCAGAAGAGGCTAGTGCCCACTGGTAGCCAACAGGCCAAGGACTTCCACGGCCAAGGACAAGTTGGTTTTTCCAAAGGGAGCAACTCCATCTATTCCTACTCCTCAAGCACTGGCAATCAAGGTCCGCATCATCCTCCCGGCCCCTCCACTTGCTCATATATGACCTGGCCAGGCTGCTTAGCCCCTCTGTGCCTCCATCTCCGCATCTATAATGTGGGACTGATCCCCGCCTCGTGGAGCTGTTGTGAGGAGCAGGAGAGATGATGCATGGAGGGGGTAGGAATGTGGCTCTTAGATTTGTGTTGGCTGGAGGAACAAGTGGCACCAACCTTTGGGTGAATGTTGGCTGCTGGACGCAGGAAAGCCAGCTGCCCTCCAGTGAAAATGAGCAAGAGGGAATGCCGTGGCCCTGCAGACCAGGAGCCAGTGCCCGTTCGGCTCTCTTCGGCTTGCAGAGCCGAGTGGTGCATATTGTTGCAAACCTTCGTAGGGGTTGAGCCCATGTCAGGCTGTTTGCGTGCAGTGTAGCATGGAATCTGTGTTTATTCCATGCTACAGATAAAGAAACTGAGGATGGTCATTTGCTCCCTGCAACGACCCCTGGAGGTGGCCAGGGTAGCACCATGAGCCCCACTGGGCAGCCCAGGAAGATGGAGGCCAGGACCCCCTGTCCCATGACCCCAGGGCTGGGCCCCCAGTGCTACTGCTGCCCTCCACACAAGACACTGCAGAGCCCTTGTTACACATTCCCTTGCAAAGTTTGTCTATCTTTGTAAGCCACTATGGACTCTTTCTTTCTGGAATAATAAGAGATATAAAAATATGTGGAAAGATGACAGAAGACAAAAAAAGAAATAAGAAAAAACAAATGAATAGCTGCATCTTTAAACTCCATGTGCAAGGCACTGTTCCAAGCACATTACGAAATTAACTCATACATTATCACAACAACTCTGAGGAAAGGAAGGCACTGTGATCGTCCCTATTTTTAGATGAAGAAACTGAGGCACAGAGACATTAAATAACTTGCCAGAAGTCAGACAGCTGAGCAGTGGGGAGATCTGGATTTAAACCCCCCAGTCTGGCTTCAGATTTCCTGCATATGGTAAGATGGATAGACAGACAGACAGAAAAAGGAGGCAGCTGGACAAGCTATCTTCCTGGCTCTTGCAGGCCTGGATGCTCAGAGCCCACATCATGGCCTGGCTAGGGCTCTCCATGGAGATGCCCTTCAGAAACCCTGCCTCTCCTCATTTCTGCTTCCCCTGGACTTCTGGGCGGCTGGTGGGTGTACTTGGAAGTGACGGGATGCACACCTGTGTCAGAGCTCGAGAAGGAGGGAGGGCAGGGGTGCAGGAACTCACCCAGGTACCACCTGTCCATGGCTGGAGCTGCTGGCGTGTCCTTGGAGGAGACGGCGTGCAGTGCCTGCTGCCCAGGGCCCGGAAGGAGAGTGGCGCTCCTTCCTTCCACACCTCGGCCAAGCCCAGGGGCAGGAAGAGACAAAGGCAGGGAGGAGGGGCCGGCCAGGGAGCCCTCACCTGGGCCTGCCTGCGGGAGGCGGGACCCACGGGAGAGCCTGCGAGACTCTCTGACCTCCCCCGGGCACCCAGGGAAGGGGGAGCTGCAGGCGAAGGTGAGTCCTACAGCAGCCCCACACGGGCCCTCCCCCACCAGGGGAGAGGTGTCACAGCTGGGGTCCCCCAGACGGCCTAGGGTGCCTGCTAAGGTCACCCAGAGCCAGCACAACCAGAGCCTCCGGGCCGGTGGTGGCTGACATTCAGGGACATTTGGGCACCCCCCCACCCTCCCCCCGGGCCCTTACTCAGCTGCACCTCCTCCCGCCAGTCTGTGGGGCCTTTGCCCCGAGCCAGCCTGCCCAGGCCCTGCTCCGAGGCGAGGAGTCCTCTGAGGCTGGACAGGACAGCAGCAGCCCCTTGGAAGCTGCCCTCGGTGGGGTGGGAAGGCTTTTCAGGGCATGATTCCTGCTGTGTCATTCCAGTTGTAGGGCAGAGATGGGGAGCCGCCAGGGGCTGGAGGGGGAGCTGGAGGGGGGCTGCTCCCAGGGGGACCCTGCACTTAGCCCCCAGTGGCTTACTAAAGGCTATGGCGTCAGACCTGCCTGCGGCACCTCCGCAGTCCTGGGGGAGACACCAGCAGCCTCACGAGGTCTCTGAGGGCCTGGTCATGCCAGAGGGGACTGGCCGGAAGGCGGGGCAGGGCAGCCCCGGGAACTGACTCAACCAAGTCTCTGTTCCTCGGCCAGCTGGGGCCTCTAACAGCCCAGAGCAAAGCTGTGTCAGGCAGTCTCTGTGTGGCTCTCTGGGACCACAGCCTCTGCCTCAGGCTCCTTGCAGGCCACCCTGTCCAGCCTCTCCAAGCACCCACACTGAAGAGCAGGGGCTGGGAGGTGCTGGTTCTGGCCCCAGCCTCTCACCCTCTGCTCCCTTCAGATGACAGCTCACCTCTGTCCCTCACTAGCACCACTTCCTGCCCTCAGGGGTTGACTAATGACCGGCCCCCCACCCAAAAGAGAGCTGCTTCCAGGCTAGAAAATGCCCTGGAAATGGACCCCAGCAGGCCTGGAGCAGTGTCATCTGGTGGGCTGAGATTTGTGCTGGGGGCCCAAGCAGGCCGTCCTGACTCCAGGCTCCTTCCTGCACTGCTCCCAAGGCAGGGGCACCCTGCCCAGCGCCTGGCCTGCCTGGCCAGGCCTCGTCACATTACCAGGTGGAAATTGCACACTCAGATGGCCCAGACCTGCCAAGTGGAAATTCCCCAAGCTGGGCACTTGCAGAGGCTCGTAAATCTCAGGGCCAGATGAGACTTGAGAGGTTACCTGGTCCAAGTGCATCCGTGGTCCAGAAAAGTGGAGATCTCAGCCAGGGCCTGCTGCAGCCTTGCCCTGCCACACACGTACACATGCTATGCTTCCTCTCAGGCCCTAATGCTGGGAAGAAAGGCATCTCCATCCCAAAGGGAGACCCTGTGTCATAGACTAACAAATTGGAAATGGCCTCCAAGGTCATCCGGCCCAAGCTCCTCTCTTTACAAACCCGCTCAAACCCTCAGAGGTCTCAGAGTGTAAGCCCAAGTCCTTTTGGTGTCTTATATGGCCCTTCTTAATCTGGCCCCAATGACGTCTCTGACCTTGTGTTCAACTTCCCGGCCCCTCTCTCTGCTCTGGCTAACCCTGCAAGCACCCTCCTGCCTCAGGCCCTTTGCACGGACTGCTATGCTTCCTACATGCTCTTCCTCCAGAGAAGTTCCTGGCTAACTCTGCTCAGGACTTTCTTCATAGGTTTCTTCCTGCAGAAGGCTCTTCCAGGCATCCCAGGCTAAAACGTCCACACCCACTCTCTGCAACATTTCAGATCCCTTCTTCACTTCATTATTAATCTGTAGCATTTATTTATCTGGTAAGTTATTTATTTTCTTTATCTTACATCTTGTCTCTCTTCCAACCAAAATTTAAAGTCCAGGAGAGCAAGCATTTTTGTTTGTTGTGTTCATGCCTAGAACCCCAGTGCCCAGAACAGGGCCTGGCACATGGTGACCCCCAGTTTTTTTTAAAAAAACATCCAATCCCAGAGGTGAAATAATTTCACCAGTGACACAGGCAGACCCAGGACTTGGCTAGTGCAGCGTCTTCCTGTGAAACTGCCTGCCCTGTGATAAGTAGCAAGAACTGGTTTGTCCCCACAGACAGTAGGTGGCTAGCACCCCACAGTCCGCCCACTGCTCACCCAGAGTCCCCTTGGGGGCTTCCCCATCCTGCACCTTCACTCCCCACAGCATGTCACCTGGAATCCTGGGACACTTTTCATAAAATTGGTCATTTGTCCCTTTGGGAGAAGCCCGGTGGGGGGTGTGTGGAATTGAGGAGGAAGCCCTCGCACTCACATCCGGGTGCTCTCGGAATTCTTCCTTGTCCCCTTCCAGCTGACTGAGGTCATCAGCCTGGCTGACACTGGTACCAGAAACCCCCTTTCAGACACACACTACTCTCCTCCAGGCAGATCTTGGCTCCTTCACCCCATGACCCATGGCCCCCCGGGAGAACCCGGAAGAACTTCCCCTCCTTTAGTCTCTGCAGGCAGGGGCACCCAGCAAGCCAGACGCAGCACATGCAACTCCCTCTGCACCCTGGGTTCACTAAGGACTGCGTGATGCTGGGGAAGGTCAGCTCTCTGGGCCTGCTTTTCCCCTCTGTAAAATGGGATGCTTGCACCTACCTTGCAGGGTTGTTGAAGAAATTGAGATGGTGTAGGTAAACTGCCTGGTCAAAGAAGGTGCTAATAAATGCCAGCTTCGTTATCCGCACCCTGAGGTGGCCTTCCATGAGGCAAGGACGACCACTGTAACCCCTTCCCTGGGCTCAGTCCCCTGCCGGGATGACCTCTGCAGCAGGTTCCCAGGGCAACTTCCCCTCCCCGACCCACAATATGGTCTCTGCCGATCAACCACACACCCAGGCACCCCCACAGCACTGCTGTTCCCGGCTGGTGTCTGGCCCCTGCATGTTCTTCTAGTCTTTCCTGGGATAAGGGGCCACATGGGGTGGGGATGCTAGTCTGCTGCTCCAGAAGGGCTACAGGGCAGGCAAAGACCCCCCAGCCCCTCCCTTTGTCTGGCTGTTCTGGGCTGGAGTCAAAGAGGTCCATCCAGCCATGCCCTGCTGCCCCCACAGAGAACCCAGATGAAGGAGATCCTTGGGGGTCATGGAGAGGTGACTGCAGCACTCAGACCCCTCTTCCAACCCTGTTGCACCCAATGGGACAGTGTCCTTAGTTGCCACGCCCCAGTCTCCCCTGTCTTCCCCAACAGGCCTCCATTTGTCCCCTGACGCTTCAGTCTGGAGCAGCAGCCTGGAGCAATCATTACTGGATCGGGGGTGAGGGTGGGTAGTGTGCTGGGACATCAGCTGAGCTATGTCCGCTGGGTGCGCAAAAGCCAGCAACGTGGCAAAGGCCTCACCGCCAGCCTTCCCGAGGTGGAGGTCTCCAGCTCCGCCAACCATGCCTGCCTAGGGGCAGCATGTCAGAGCGCACGGCCTTGGACTCCAGCGCCCCAGTTAATCCTCCTCGTGATGTTGGCTTGCAACTGGAAGAAGCCAGAAGTACTTAGAAAGCCCCGATTCCCGGCTCCGGTTGGTCTCAGTTGCACAGCAACTGTGACCACTTGACAGGGAAGGTGGCAGCTCCCAGGCCCCATCTGTGCTGCCCAGACGTCCTGAACCCTGAGGAGTGCTGGCTCCTGCCTCCTGCTTGGCTGCAGACGCCAGGCTCTCTGGGGTCTTATAAGGCGGGGCTGGAGGAGGTGGGCCCTGGAGGGTCCATTCCTTAAGTGTTGGCTTCAAGATGGCCTGAGCAGTGGGGCACACAGGTCCTGGGAGCCGCCGAGGGCGATGTGCTCTATGAGCCAAGGTCACCGAGGCCTCTCTGCTCCCCGGGCAGGTAGGGGATGGGGACCCCCCCGCCTCTGCTCCCATAGCCGGTGCAAGGGAAAACCTGTCGAATACCGTGGAGAGAACCGCATTCCTGACTCTTCTCAGAACTCAAGTCTGGGCTGAAACTAAAACAGAGGCTGTTTCTCTCCAGCTGTGGCCCTTCCCTGCGCAGTGACCACATCCCTCCTTCTCTCTGAGCAGCAGCTCCAGGCCTCCGCTTGCAGGAAGACCTCGTGAGCAAGCCCATCTCCCCCTGTTCCTGCCTTTGCCCCACTGCCTTCTGGATTCCACCGGCGTGGCCCAAATGGCATGTAACCGTCTTTGTCATTTCTTTCAGGTTGCCGTGTCTGTCCTTCCTCTGTGAGGACTCAGGTCATGACGTCTGTTAAATGACTGTGTCTCCACTGAGCCCAATACCCAGCTGTCCTCACTTGGTAGCAGTTCCGTCCACTTCATGGTTCTGATAGGTCCAAAGAAACTGGCCGCCGTGATCTGCTTCATTCCTCCCCAAAGACTCAGCCGAGCAGGTTCTGTGACCCTCGTCTGACAGAGGAGGAACCTGCAGTAGCGTGTGGACAAGTCAGAACTTGAACCCAGGTCTAACCGTCAGAACGGTGGCTCTGCTATCAATGCAAGAAGGCATAAGGACAGGGGGGGAATATAAATATTAATAACATAATACCTACATGGGAATAGTCAATGTGTGCTTATGTCCATTAGGTCACTTTGACCTTGTGAGGGCACAGGAAAGAAGGTGATGGACCCATTGTACTGTTGAGGAGCCTGAGGCTTACAGGGCTTTCCCAGAGTTACACAGGAGCCCTGCTTGCTCCACAGCTAGGAAGGACTGCATGTTGCAGAGAAGGGAACTGCCAGAGATGCTGGGGTCTGCCCAAGCTTGCACAGCTAGAGGGAGGGGCACACGAGGGAACGTCCTGAGCCTCCTTTTGCTCCAGCTGCCCGCCCAGAGGCAGGAACCCACTCCTCGGGATGGTACAGGACCCCCACCCCTCATCCCCTATCACCCCAAGTCCTTCAGGACATCTGATCGCAGCACCACCTGCTCTACCATCACTCCCTTGGCACGTGTCCACTATTGTGCAAGCAGGCACGGGGCTGGGGCTGGCTCCAGAAAATCAACAGCTGGTTGGCTTGAGCTGGCTGATTCTGCCCCCCTGGAGTCCAGCTGTGACAGCAATGAATCACACTAATGGCCAGCGGTGGGCATTCTTCCTTCTGTGGCCTGGAGACAAGTATTTCCAAAGCTCCTGCCCTGGCACAGACAAACACGCCTGAGCGCTCTCTCTCGCTCTCTCTCTCTCTCTCTCTGTCTCTCTCTCTCTGTCTCTCTGTCTCTCTCGCTCACTGGGCTCAGGATGAGACAGAGTGACCAGGGACAAGGTGGGGTGGGGTGTGCCAGACAGAGCTGAACAGCCCTCCCGCCCCAGCTCTGCGCAGCCGCCCCTGCAAGCCTGTGATCCTGGGGAGGGCAGAGCCCTCCTCCTCCCCAGAGGAAGGGGAAAAGGAGCCCAGTGACCTTGGGTGTGCTTCAGCCTGGCATCCCCCTCACCCACTCTACCCTCTCTGCCTCTGACTCTCTTCCAAGAACAATTTGGCAAGTTCCAATCCACAACCTGCAAAAAGACCAGAGCGGGGTTGGGGAGGCGGGGATGCATTAAGCCCTGGGGCCCAGAGGGCAGATTAACCGATTTTTATGTGCTGTTAAGTAACACAAACACCTCCATGCAAATAGACTCTAAAATCTTTGGAGTGGAATTCACAGGGACAGAACGGGGATGGGGACCAGGCAAGTATCTGGGAGGTGAAATGCCCAGGATTCCAGAGGTCCCTGGGGCCAGGGGACACTGCATTCGCTCCTGGGAGATGGCACGGCACCGCAGCTTTCCAATTCAGCCAAGTTACATTTGCTGTAACCAACCAAATCAGAGACGAATCACTGCCTGGAGGCCGGGTGGATAGGCAGACACGGCGCTGCCTGTGTGGGGTGCCGACCCAGGAGGAAGACGCATGTTCAGCAGCAATCCAGGCCTGGATTCTGACGCTTCTTCCTGGACCCTAAGGTGCTGAACCAGAGAAGGAGAAGGGGCTTGTTTGGGGCAGGGGGTGAGGGGGAGGTGAAGATCGGGGGGTCTTCAATTTGAACCCGGACACTGAGTTCCTCCACGAGATGGATTCCGTGCCCACCTTGCCCAGAGGAACCCAGCACTGGCCCCTTCCCCCCAGCTCACACGCTTCCAGCGTTGAGTTCACCTCAGCTTGGAATCATCATGGCTGAGGAGCTAAGGACCCTCACACGAGGCCAGTCCTGCCTCTCCCTCGGGTCCACCTGACGGACCTCAGTCCTTTCCTCTGTGGCACCGAGTGAGACTGGCCGGGAGCTGGCCAGGCCTGGGCTCGAGCTTAGTTTTACCAGCAGGAAAGCAGACTCAGGCCTAAGTCCCAATGAAGCCCCCGTGTCCTCACCTGTCAAGCAGGATTACCTTCCTAGAGGGTTGGTGCCTAGAATGAGCTGATACTTGTGAGGCTGTCAGCCAGTGTTGGCACATAGCTGCCTTTATTTACCTGTTTGTTATGATTTTGAGCATCCATTTCTTTAGCTGTGTTTTCTGTGTCTTGCTTTCAGAGCACTCACCTCCAGAAAGACCCTCCTCAGAGCACCACCTAGCTGGGCTATGCCGTGAAGGGACCGCTACACTCCAAATGGGTTCTCACCAGCCCAGATGATCCTCTCCTTCCCCTGGAGAAGGAAGCCAGGCCCTGCAGTGTGCCAAAGGGAACCCTGGAGGCAGATGGCCGGGGTTCAGTTCCCAGCTCCTCTCCCCTCCAGCTGCGTGACCCTAGGTCAGTCACACACTCAGCAGTCTGTCAAATGTGAATACCCTACCTTCCTCAGAGGAAAGGCTGGGTTATCAGGAGGAAAACGAGGGGCTGTTTAGAGCCTGGACAAGTAGGGAGAACCATTTTAGACATACGTTAGAGGCAATGATTACCATTCTCCATTATTAACATAATTATTAGAGAAAAACCAGAACCTCCCCAGTGGATCTCCTTATACTTTATAGTTAAATATTTTTAATAATGACTATGGGGAGGTACCTGTAATCTTTGGTGCACCCAGGGCCCCTGAGGAGCTTCATCTGGTTGTGTTTGGAAATCACTGCAAAGCCTTTCAATCCCCTGACCCACAGCCAATGCTCCCCTGGCCCACATGGAGTGCTCCCCTGACCCACAGCCAGTGCTCCCCTGACCCACAGTAAGTGCTCCCCTGACCCACACCCAGTGCTCCCCTGACCCACACCCAGTGCTCTCCTGACCCACACCCTGTGCTCCCCTGACCCACAGTGAGTGCTCCCCTGACCCACACCCTGTGCTCCCCTGACCCACAGCAAGTGCTCCCCTGACCCACAGCCAGTGTTCTCCTGACCCACAGGGAGTGCTCTCCTGACCCACACCCTGTGCTCCCCTGACCCACAGCAAGTGCTCCCCTGACCCACAGCCAGTGTTCTCCTGACCCACACCCAGTGCTCTCCTGACCCACACCCTGTGCTCCCCTGACCCACAGCAAGTGCTCCCCTGACCCACAGGGAGTGCTCCATGAATGGTGGTCATTTACAAAGTTGAAGTGTGACCAGAGATTTTTTCAATCACCATTGCTCCCTGGGTTGACAGCGTTGAACTTGATATTGACTATCAGCTTCGGTCTGCAGAAACCCGGGGGACAGAGGGCAGGAGCAGGTACGGGAGTAGGACAGGCAGCAGGCGTGTCCTGGGGCAGTCGGGGAGTGGCTGGCGCCCTGTGTCCCGCACGACCATGCCTGTCCAAACAACTCCCGGAATCTAGAAGGACACTGAAGATGTGGGGGGAACCGAAGCTGTACCAGGCATTCGTACATGAGAACAAGCCCTAGTCCTTGCCTCTGGGAGTTGTGTCTCACAATGAAGACACACGGCACAGGCAGAGGTGGGCACCACACACCAGTGACCTCCAAGGGAGTCAGCCCGTGGCTGTATTTGTTTGGCCAACAGTTTTTTAACCCTGAACTGGAATGTCTTTGGGAAGACGCTCTAGAGGACCCAGGCTCCAGTGTCCCATTGACTGTGCCACTATGGCTGATTCGTGGATGGACACTGTCCACCTGCTCTCTGAAGTTTGGACCCAAAGTACAGAGTATTAAATGGGAAGGTAAAGGCAGGAACACATGTGACAGAAAAGAAGTCCAGGAGGGCCCCACAGAGAAGGGGGCTTGGGATTTGGAGAAAGATAAAAGATTCAAGGGCTTTGATCATAGCCCAAGTGACCTAACTCAGGCCTTCTTTGTCAAGTCCTTGGGAAGCGGCCCCAGAATTGAGCAAAGGGAGAGGTCAGAACCTTTCATTCCGGGCCGGTGTGCCCTTGGTCAAGCCGTCGTGACCCCTTTCTCTCCAGGACAAGCACGAGGCACAGGTCCTGCTGGGGATGCAGTCCACGCCCCCTGAGCTGGGGAGTGAAGGGGGGTTGGGCAGGGAGAGGCAGGAGGGGGAAGGGGTGACGAGGAGAGGAAGGGGAGGCGAGAGAAGAAACAGAGGCGCTGAGTGCCGAAGCTGCTGGAATGAACCCGCACCCCCTGGCTGCCTCTTCACTGTCACTTCCTCCCTCTGTCCAAGGACAGAGGCCCTTTGGCCCTGCAAGCACCACAAATACTCAAGTTCTCTTACAGAAAGGAAAGCACCGCAGAGCCACTAGGAAACAAATGGTATTTTATTCCTTTTTGCTGTTGAGAGGAAGGATCACAACACGAGGACGGTGGTCCCGGTCACAGCGGCACGGTTTAGCTTCCACGAGAACACGATGGGTGGGAGGGGAGGGGTCTGGTTTAATCTTCCACCCCCATGACCTTCAGCCTCTTGCTGTTCCTTCCGCAGCAGGGCTGTGCGGAGCCCCGGCTGGGCTCCAACCTGCAGCACAGGCCCCGGACTCGCCGCCACAACGGGCAGAGCACAGGGTGTGGGAGCTGTCGCAGCTGTCTGAGCAACGGGATGGACAGAGCAGCAAGGGAGCCCTGCCTCCCGGCTGCCCCCAGCCCCAGACAGGGTGGATCGCCTCCCCAGCACCTGCCAGAGACCCAGTGCAGGGCTTGGAGCCTGAGTGCAGACAGCGGGCGGTAGGGGGAGGGCTGGGAAGCCGGGCAGGGAGGAGACAGGAGTAGGGCTCCAGAGCCCATGGGGTTATTGCTGAGAAGATATACAAGGGGCACATGCCCCAGGGGCAGCATAGAAGCCCTGGGCCTGGAGTCCCTGGCCACTCTGCGGTGGGGCTGGGCAGTTGGGGCGGGGAAGCCCCCAAGAAGAAACTGGTGATGGAAGGGGTGTAGTCTGCTGAAGGCAAAGCCGGGCTCCTTGGTTTGAATTGCTGTGAATTGCTAGGAGACCCTCGGAACAGATTTGGGGAAGAATGTGGAAGCAAGGTTCTTGTAAAAGGAGCAAAGAGGGGCTGCGAAGAATGACTGGGAAGGTGACGTAAACCTTCCCAAGTCCAAAGACAACTGAGACTCCCACCCATGCCCCGAAATTAAGAGAAGGGACAGGTCTCTCAGGAAGAAAGCAGACTCCCAGGAGCAGGAGGTGATGGGGGCCATGGGGACAGGGAGGAGCTGGTGGGGACATGGCTCAGCTCCTGCCCAGGAAAGCAAGGCCAAGTTCACAAAACACATCATCCACAGCCACGAAGACCAGTCATCAAACGCACACACAGCACGTCACAGGGGGGACAATACTGCAGGCTGCAGCAGGGGAGGCGGGCGTTAGTTGCATCATGAAGTTGAGGGCAGGTGTTGGAGGGGGTGGGGAGGGGCAGGGGGCCGCGTGTGTTCTCGGCTCCTCCTGGGGAGAGCTCTGAAGTGGCCGGGTTTCTTAAGCATCAACATTTGCATCTAATTGTTCAAGCAGCTGCCTTCAGGTTCTGGAGGCTGAAGAGGGAGAGAAATTAAGACAAATCTTCGGCTCAGCACCTGTGCCCAAGGAAACGAGGGGTGAGACCCATTCTGAGCGCCATGCTCGGCGAAGCAACGAAGGTGCGCCAGGATGCAGGGGACAGAGACCTCAGGGGAGGGGTTCTCTCAGGAGAGCTGCAACCTGGTAGGCATGGAAGCAAATTATTAAACCCTGGGCTTCCATTTCCGGACACCCCCAAGAGGTGCTCACAGTCCTGAGACCTAGGAGAACAGGGTTTCTCAGGAAGTCCTGGTTAAAACAAAAGACAACTGCTAACTCCAGGCCCCTCCCTTGAGCTTCCTATACCACTCCCAAGATCCTGACCCACCAGGTGCCATGGAATCAACAGACACCAAGCTACCAGCCAGGACACCTGCTCCTAGATCGGGTTCTAGGGCCACCTCATGCTCAGGCAACCACTGACCTCCCCGGGCCCCATCCGGAACCCAGAGGCAAGGAGCCCGGCTCTGCCTGCGCGCAGGCCTACATGAATGTAAAAGCACATCGGAAAGTTTTCAAGGGCCACACATGTACTCCAGGTTACTATGATCTCAGCAAAAGCTAGTGAATCAGGCATTTTATATCCAGAAATCTTTTAACTTACAATTTAGGATAAAGTTGTATGCCCGTCTATAATGTTTCATTTGTATGGCAAATAAAGGCAGTAGCGAGCTGATGGGAGATGGATTTTTCTCCTCTCAGGATATCCCAGGGTATGTCATAGATTGAGACAGGCAGGTGCAGGGGTGGGGGTGTGAAAACGGCACTGAACTACAAAGACCCAAGTTCAAGTTCCAGTCTATCACATCCTACCTGTATGGCTATTCTCTCTGATCTCAGTTTCCTCATCTACAAGATGGGGCTCCAGTCCACTGGCCCTACTTCTTCTGACAGGCTCCAGCCACTGCATGGGGGTGGCAGCATTCTAAAAGCTGTAAAGCATCTAACAGTTACTCTACTGTGAACAATGGATGCTGAAAACAGTGCCCCTAAATGCTGAGATCCGACAGCACTGGTGTGGATGGTGGTCAGACACTCTTCTCCCTAGTTTTGTGAAAGGTTGGAACGTTTCATAATAAAATGTTCATGTAAGAAAAAGTGGCATTGAAGTACGTTCTGAGTCATCTGAAAGCCATTATCTTTATACTGCTTTGATATTAGGAATATTTCACAACTGCTCTCCTAAGTCATGGCCACATGGCAGCTGGGAGGGCATCCTATCACCTCGGCCACTGGGTTGTGCAGAAGCCCTATTTTGTGACTGTTTGCTGTGTGTGTGCGGGGGGCACCTTGGATGTTTCTGTCCACCTGTGATTGCCCCTGTCAGACACAAGACTTCTCAGAGCCTGGCTCTTAATAAAAGCTGTGCGTTCTGCAAAGGCTGGTCCAGTACTTGCCCAGAGGAAGAAAGTGATGTGGGTGGAGGAAGACGCAGGCAGATGGCACCTCACCTTCCTTCCTGAGGGCTGCACTTCAGTTCTCTGCTTTCTGGGGCTCCGCTGCTGGAAAGAAAACCAGAATGGGCTGTAGTGAATGGACCCTCTGGCCAGCAGGACCCCCCTGCAGCAGCCGTGCCTGTGCCTGACTCTGAGAAAGCCTGACCCCCACAGCAAACTCACAACATGAGCAGGATTTCAAGTCAGACAGACCAGATTCTTGCCCTGCTACGCACTGGTTACAGGACGCTGGAATGTTCCTTGACCTTTCTGAGTGCCTCCGTGTACGATGTGGACCATGATGCCTACACCATGGGGCTGTGTGTGCAGTAGGTGGGGTCTGCAAAGCACTTTGCATTGTGCCTGACACAAAGCAGATGCCCCGCAAACAGCGACTGTCTCAACAGGAGCGGTAGCCTGCTTGGTGGAGGTGAGGGCACAATGCAGAGAGGATGCCTGGAGACCCCTCTCCTGGCACTGACACTGGGAGCATGTCTGGCCAGATCTAGATTGGCCACGGTACCTGGTAACCATCTTTCCTATGCCATATGAGGACCTTCACCCATTCCCGCCATGCCACCTGGGCAGGTGGCCATGACAGTTACCATTGGCAGTGATGAGGTTCTCCACCTGGGCCTCCTCGTCCCCTGGAGCCCTGCAAGAGGGAGACATAGACTTTCCATAAGAGGCCTGCCTGGCAAGCCCAGAGAGTATCCCTTGCTGGGGCAGGCCTGGATTGGTCTCCCCTGAGCCACCTGAGGGCTCCAGCGCTCTCCACCATGGGGTGCATGGGGTGGGCAGAGGGCAGGACTGAAGGGGGCACAGTCAGGGGAACTCACGGGCCTTCTTCACTATCAGCCCCCAAGAGAACTAGGCCCTGGGGGGCTTAGATGGTGTCCTGCCGCTGACTTTGGACAAGGCCCAGAGCTCCCCTGGTTCCCGCAGTGGACTAATGGGTACACCCTTTCACTTATGTGGGGGCAGAAAAGGGAATGGCAGGGAGCCTGAGCTTCTCCATGGCTCGTGGAGGGGGCGAGCCGGGACCATGTCACAGGGCTTGTAGAGAAGAGAATGTTCTTGAGAGAGGCGCTCTGCTTCCCTTCTGTCAAGCCCTGCCATCCTCAGTCCCCCAGACAAGGGCCCAGCATCTTCTTGCCCACCTCTCCTCCGCTATATACATCAGAAGAGCAGAGTTGGGCTTAATGTTCATTGTTTTGACCTCTCCTCTGCCCAAAGTGTGCCTGGCAGTCCTCAGAACTTCTACCCCTACCCCCAACACACGTGGCCTGTCTCTAAGAGTCCAGAAGAACACTCATGTGGGGTCGCATGCCAGGGGGACCATCCCTGAGCCCTCCTAGAGTCAGCCCAGATGTCCCCAGCCACGGCATCCTTACCGGGGCTTCGGAGTGAAACCGCACTTGCACCTGCGACCTGAAAGGCAAAGAGACCACCGCCGGTCAGGGTCCTGGGCCACAGAAGGGCTGCACAGGAGTCCGTACAGGCTGTGGGACTAGGCAAATCACACCGCTATGTGCAGCAGTCCTGGGCTGCAGTAGGGTTCTTCTGAGGTCCAAGTTCAACATCCAAGCACTGATGGCTACACCACCACAGCCTGCTCGGCGGTGCGGATGCCGAGGGCTCCCAGCCACACAGGCTCTTAGTGAGCAAAAGCACAGACTTACTGAGGATAAGGAGGATCCCCACGGAGAACAGGACCACAGCAAACACCAGTCCCCCGATCCTCAAGGTCTGGTAGTCTGTCAAAGGAACGCGGTGAGAGACCAAGACAGGGAAGGGCCGGGGAGCACACCCCCTCCCCTGTGTGGGGCTGTTCCTCCCCGCCCCACCCAGGGTGGGGTGTCAGTGTGCTCACCATAATGGAAGGGGTCCTTTTCTTTCTCCTTATCAGCTGCTGTGGACATAAAGTAGCGTGGTCAATTCCCAAATATCTTACCTGACGTCCCAGGCCTCACTCCCCACAGAGGAACCCTGGGAAGCTGCGCCTGTTCGGCAGAGACGGCTGGAAAAGCTCAGAAGGAGGGCCTGCCTGTTAGGGCCAACCCGAGCTGAAGGCATGCACAGCTCAGCGCAGCAACAGCACATCCATGTTAATTGCCCTTTTTTATTCTTATGTCATCCCCAAAACGCAGTGTCTGTTTTCCTCCTGTTATAAATGGGGAACTGAGCCCAAAGAGGACACAGGACTTGCACAAGGCCCGAGTCTAGAGACTGACAGGCAGGTCTGGCTCCCAAGGTTCAGACTACACATCTACAGGGGACTGGTGGGCTTGAGGGCTTAAAAGTAGACCCTGACGGGCCCTGTGGGGAGGGACGGATAAGGTCTATGAACAGCTGCCACCTCCCTGGACATTCTTACTGGACTAAAGGTGGGGGCAGGGGTGTCCAATCAGACATGGAGAATCTCAGAGGTCCCCCAGCTATGGTGTCCCAACGGGCCAGGACCTTCCACCAGGAAGGGCTGTGGGTGCCACCTGTCAGGGCTAGGTCCCAGAGGGGTACTTACCACTGGCCAGGACCATGGGGGCCAGCAGGCTGCACAGAAAGATCAGCAGCACCTCCATGGCGTCTGGGGACAGAGGGTGGACGGAAAATGATTCTCTGGATACGAGAGTCCCCATGCCAACCCCAGCCAACTAGAGGCCGAGTAGAATTCCCAGCTCTACTCAGTCCCCTCCACACAGAGGAAGTTCAAACGACCAAGCAGAAGCAGCTGACATTTGCAGGACTCAGCACTCTGCATGCATTAATTCAATACTGCAATTGAATCAACACAATTAGCGGGCACGACGACTGACCTGTTTAGCAGCTGAAGAACTTGAGCTTAAAGAAAATAAATGGTATTCATGCCAGTGAGCGCAGAGCCTCGATCTAACCCAGCTCGGCTGCCTCCCTGGTGCCGAGGCCATGAACCCTACGGGCTTTGGGGCTGAGTGCTGAGTCCTCCTCAGGCCAGCCTTCTGTGGCCATCCCTAGTGCATCAAGATGGTCTGGGACATCCTGGCCTGGATCCCCAGAGCCAACCCCCATATCCAAGTTCTTTCTATCAGGTTAAACGGGGCAGGTAAGCTAATTATCTCCCCCGGTGCAGCCAGCAGGGTGGGGTGGAAGATGCTGTTTCCTAGACTCTGTGAACTCCGAAATGCTGACAGCTCTCCGTGAACTTGCCCCTCCTGCCCCACCTCTAAAGTGCCCAGGCGGCTCTTCCCACTGGCTCTGGTTCATAACCCCCAGGGGAAGGTGGTTTGATCAAACAAGGCGAGTGTGGAGGCTTGTTCTCTGAGCACCAGCACCCTGACCTCTCCCTCCCCAGAAGGTGCCTGAGCCCTCTTTTTTTTTTTTTTAGATTTTATTTATTTACTTAATTTTTATTTCCTAAGCCTTCTGCTCATGAGCTCCTCAAGCCCCTGGTCTCTGGGTTCAGGGGCCCCAGGGTGGGTCACCTTGAGGGAGGCAGACGGTGGCCAGTTGTACCCCTCAGGGAGTTCCGTGGAGTTACATAGACCTCATTCCTTAAAGCAGCGCGGTAAAGAGCCAGAGAGGAAAAGGGGAAAGAAACTAGACCAGGTCAGCAAGAGACCATCTGCTCTTTCCCAGTGGGGTGAGATGGCAGGGACCTAGCCGCCTCTGGACCAGGGGCCAGAACCACACTCACTCTGGGGGACGGTGGCTGTGTCTCCCAGGCCCTGAGCCAGCGGCCCCCGGCTGCCCTTCACCGCTCAGCCACCGGAGGCCGCAATAACCACACCCAGAGTCACGCTGTGGCACAGACCTCTGGAGAAGGGACCCAGGAAGTGTTGATGGAAAGGCCCCCTGCCTCACTCCCAGAGATAAAAACAGTATCCTGAATATATATTTTTAATCATTCCCTTCCTCTTCTTAAAACATTTTTTATAATGAAGACATAATTCACGTATCATAAGCTTCATTTAAAAGTGCGCAATTCAATGACTTTTAGTATAGTCACAACATTGTGCAGCCATCATGACTAATTCCACAACATTTCATCACCCACAAAAGAAACCCTGTCCCCATTAGCAGTTACTACCCATTCTCTCCTCCCCAGCAAGACAACTACTGATCTATTCCCGTCTCTATGGATTGCGTATGCTGAACCTTGCACATAAAGAAATCACACGCTTTAATATGTGGCCCTTTGTGGCAAAATTCTTCCACTTAGCATAGTGTTTTCAAGGTCCATCCATGTTGTTTTATGAGTCAGTATGTCATTTCTGTCTAAGGCTGGATAATATTCCATTGTATGGATATTCGCCCTGCTCTTCTTTTTAAAAATGTATTTATCACACACATATATTTAAGTAAATTGTTTAGTGGAACTTTTTTGAGCTTTATAATTATGATATCATGTTTACAGTCTTTGCAGACTGGCTTTTTTTGTTCAACCTGTTCCTAAGAATCATCCATACGTACCCACAGTTCATTCATTTTCAATGTTGTGCAATATTCCATTATGCAGGTGCATTACCATGTATTGGTTCATTCCCCTGCCAGTGGATACCTTTTTCCCCAGTATTGTGCTATAAATAATGAAGTTGGGAACATTTTTGTGCTTGTTGCCCAGGGCACACACATGCAAGAGTCCCAAATGTCCTTACCGCTTCTCAAATCTTTTGACCACCACTGCTATGAGAGGCTTTTTACATTAGAACCCAGTACAAATATATATATATTCAGGTATACCAGAAACATAAAACAATACTTAACTGTAAAATGAATGATGTCCCCTGATATTTTCCATTCTACTTTCTTTAAAAAAAAAATGGCAAGGCCCATTAATGGGCCAAACTGCAGCTTGAAAATTATGTACTAGAGATAGGCCTAGGAGGGAACTCATTAGGTTGTACAATATGCAAACTGTCAACTTCACAAAATACTTCCAAATTGTTTCCCAAGGGGACATCCTCACTTTAACATTCCACCAGCTGCCTATTATGACTAGTTCCTATTATTCCACATCCTTGTCGGTACTTGATACTGCCAAGCTGCTTAATTTCCACCAATCCAGAGGTATAAAATATCATCTTAATTTGAGTATTAGTAATGGAGTTGGGCTTCTTTCTAATTATTTGCCATCCCTGTTTCTTCATCAGCGATGTGTCTTTTTGTATCTTCTGCTCATTTTTCAAATGGGTTGACATTTTTATTATTATTCATTCATTCTGGATACTAAATCTTTGTCATTTGGTATTGCAAACATCTTACTCAATTACTGGCTTGTCTTTTCTCTTTTTAAAAATTATCTTTCACCAAACAGAATTCCTTCATTCTAATTTAACTGAATGCAGTGATTTTTGTGTCTTGTTTAAGATCCTCCATCACCCTAAGTCAGACTTTTCTTCTAAGTATTTTAAAACCTTGTCTTCACAGTGAAATCTGTATTCGACCCAGAACTGATGTTTCTCTACGGCATGAGGTAGAGATGGAACATTCACTTCTTTCCATGCTGGCCATCAGCTGCCGGGGCCCCATTTGTCAACAGGCCGCTGCCCACTCCTTTCCTCCTGATGTGTGATGTCACTTTCATCACAGATCTGGTTTCTACTTAGGTGTGGGTGTTTCTGGGCTTTCTCTCTGGGTCTATTTGTCAATCGGTCCGCATCAAATCAGGGTCTCAACTTCTATGGCTGTACAGTAGCCTTTGCCCCTGGGAAGAGAGGGTTCCCTCCTCTTTTTCTCCTTTCTTCTCTTCTTTTGCCTCTTCCTCCAGGAATATTTTCACTCTTCTTGGTTTTTCGCCTTTATATGTAAATCTTAGAATCAGTCTGTCGAATTCATCTAAAAGAGTTGGGATTTCATTGGAACTGCAGTGGATCTATACAGGACTTGGGGAGAATTGACGTTTTGGGGATCTGGAGTCACCTATCTATAAATAAATCTTTTCATTAGTTTTGTAGGTCTTTTTCAGTGTCTTTTAATAAAGTTTTACAAATGCTTTTATACAGGTCTTGCATATCTTATTAGATTTATTAATAGGTACTTTATGATATTATTGCTATTTTAAATGCTCTCTCGTGTGTTTTCTGATTTTTGCTAGTATAAAGAAGGCAACTGATTTGTATATATTGATCTTAAATCCAATATTTTAATGTAAATCTTCTAACTCTTATTTCTAATAATTTACCTATAGATTCCTTTGGATTTTCTGCATAGATATATCACCTGCAAATGATACAATACTGTTTCTTCCTCTCCATTTCTTACACTGTTTATTTCTTATCTTACTGTACTGCTAGGACCTACAACAAAATCTAGAATAGAAGCAGTGACCATGGACACACACTCACACACAGGCTCACATACATACAATCTTATTACTGACTTTCTTTTCATTTTAGTGTTTATTTTTAATTTTTCCCAGCTTTACTGTGATATGACATATAACATTGTTTAAGGTGACAACATGACAATTCAGTACATGTATACATTGTGAATTACCATAATAAGGTTAGTTAATACTTCTATCATGTCACATAATTATCTTTTGTGTACGTGGTGAGAATGGGTACAGGAAATGAGGTATATATACAATGGAATATTATTCGGCTATAAAACAAGAAGGAAATTACTGATTTTAAATAGATTTTTTCTGATGTTTTAGAAGTTCCCCTGTAATCTGGTTTTTCCAGATGTTTCTGTTGTATATTATCAGTGAGTGTTCTATATCTATGTATGGTTGTTAACCTTTAATCTATCAATGAAATAAATTATACATAAGGTTAATCTAATGTTAAGTCATCTTTGCATTTCTGGGATAAAACTAAGGTATTATCTTTTTAGTAAACTGATGGCTTTGCTTGCTGACATTTTGTTTAGGATTTTTGCATTTATGTGCATGAGTGAGTTGGGCTTCCGTTTTTACTGTACTAACCTTGCCTTCTTTGGTATCATGGTAGCACTGGCCTCACAGAACAAGTGTTTCATCTCTTGATATTCCCTGGAACCGTTTCGTAGAAGATTCGGATAATCTACTCTTCGAACATTTGGTGGAACTAAACTGTAAACTCACCTTAGTATTATCTTTGTGGAAGGATTTTAAATTGCCTATTCAATTAATTAATGGCTATGACACTCTTCAGGTTTCTATTTCTTCCTGAATATATTTGGTGAGTTATAATTTTTACAGTAATTTGCCCTTTTCTGCTTTCAATTTTACCACCATAGAGTTGTTTATAGTATTTCTAATTATCTTTAGAAATCATTACTTTCTGTTGGAGCTGTATGTCCTTTTTTACATTCCTAATATAGTTTATTTGTGACAACTCCCCCTTTTTTTTATCAGTCTCCCCATAGGTTTAACTATTTTTATTAGTTTTTCCAAAGAACCAACTCTTGGTTTTGTTGATCCTCTTTATTGTGTGTTTTAAATTATTCTTAATTCTGCTCTTGTATGTTTTCTGGGTTTATTCTACTGTTCTTTCTTTGTATTTATCTTCTTATGTTGGATACCTAATTCATTAACATTCAGCCTTCTTGTTTTCTAACAGACATACTTGGAGATATTATGGGTTCAGTTCTAGGCCAGTGCAATAAATCAAATATCCCAATAAA